AAAAATATTATATAAATAGCAATCGATATGTTGATACAGAATAAATGAATATCAAGGTTTTCGGTCACATTGAAGGAAAACTTGTGCCTAATTTGTACATTATATATATACATTTGCTTTTTACTTTAAAGTGATTACTATTCAGTCTTGAAATATAGTTTTATGGTAAAGCCAAAATGAAATATCAGGGATATAATATCGCATTATTAAATTTAAGACATAAGAACTTATCCAATGATCGAAAACATCAATACTTAATTACATTTATGTTTCACTATATCTATACTGACCCATTGAATGTAGAATAATTTGCAGCACAGCTCTATAAAATAACGAAGGAGAAAGATGCTTATTATATCTACTTCTTTCGATAGACTGTTGAGCTAACATTCTGGCATTTTTACTGAAATTCCAGCGTCCGCTCAATGTTTCATTCGCTAAATGATAACAGCATGGAACAACAAGAAGTAAATTAATGTCCTTCGCATGTAGGAAAGCTTTAATTACAGAATGCACAAGCATTCCACAAGTGTGCAATCCTGTCAAAATAAGATTTCCGTTTACACTCCAATCAGGGTAACACGTATTCACCACTTTGTTGTAATTAGTCGTGTCGTCTAACTCTTGAACTATATATCGAATCTAAAAGGAATAATTTTTTACAACGTTACGATAAATAATAATATAATATAAAGTCAAATTTTTTTCACAAACCTTCGTTAGCGTTCGTTTCCTTTTCTGAATCTTTTCCTGACGATTTATTGCACCCTTGTGACAAACTTGCGACGAATCAATTGCTAATACAGGAATGTTAAAATGTTCTGATAAATATGTCGACAAATACGCCTTTCCAGCTCCGGCGTCTATTACTAAACTACGAGTGGAAAGTGCTATCTCGGTAATAACTTTTCCAAGCATTTCTATTTCATGTGACTTCTTTGTATTCATGAGCTCAGACTTTGGATAAACAAATTTGCTTTCAATCAAACGTTCCGTGGAAGACTGCGGTAATAGCTTTGGCAAATCATTCACGCATATAACAGCTGGACATGACTCTAAAGAAAGCGATTTTGTTAATTGTATGAAATTACTCAATTCTGAATCTATATTGTTTTCTGCCCAGATGTTATCGTTCATATCAATATTTTCAAGTTCTGATCTTAATTTCTCTGGTAAGCACTTGTCCCATAATCCCTTGGTAATAAAATCAACCAGATGACAATCTATCAATTCTTGATAGGTATTAATAAACTCCAACGCTTTCTCAAAGTGCTGGTTATATTCTGTCATCATTGTTGTATTAAAATTCGAGTCTATCTGTTTCTGGATATAGCGAACTAATTTTTGCTAGCGAACAGAATTTAGCATATTTGAACTTAATATCTTCCACAGCCTGCAGAATATTCAGATTGTCATCTTGGTGATTGGGAAGAGTGCTGCGAATATCTTCCAGGAGCTTCTTGGCTATCGTCATCGCTTTCTCGCATTTAGCGATATCATTATTTTGTAAATAATGTTCCAATACTCCGCTGTAATATCCTAATCGTGCAGCAATTATGCTGGCTCTGTGATATCCGAGATGGTATCCCTTTAATAGCTGTTCCCTGCCACTCTCATAGCCTTTCTCGTAGCCTGACTTTTGTGCGATTTCTTCCGCGAACAATAAATCTTCAAAGACTTCATTTACATCCAGATCTTTTTTTTCCTGGGACATAATTATATTAACTAAAAAAAGACAATCATAAATTATACGCGTCATTATATCTCATCACACAAGGAAATATCTTTATTAATCCACTACTCTACTTATTCTACTTAATTTAATAAATTATAACACTATACTTATTCCATTTCCTTTTTACTAATTGTTATAACACACACACAAAAAATTAATAAAATTAATAAAACTGTTGTAAGGAAAAAGAATGTAAAATTACTGTATATAAGAAAGATATTAATAAGTAACAAAGTAAATCGTGATGCTTATTAAGTAAATCAATGTCTATAGAACTGCGGATACAGATGTGTATATGTATGTAGAACTATAATGTAATTTATGCAGTGACACACGGGCGTGTCGACAATGGATAAGTAATTATACATGTATATGTGTATCGTGTATAAGAAGAAAACGTGCATCTTCTCAATCTCGGCGAACGCAATATGACGTTTAAATTCAAACTTTTTTCATGATAAAACTAACAAAAGCTTACACGAGTACAGTAATCTATGCGGCAGAGTTTCTAGGTTATATGTATTACACAAACATATATGATGTTGTTGCGTTACGTCTATATAACAGGTACAGAACGTAAATAGATGTTGCTGTGAAAGTGTGTTCTACCTGATTATCTCGTTGAATTTTAATTAAATTCTCTTCTATCTACTTCTTTCTACTTCGACGAGACGAGAAAGATGACGGACGAGCGGAATTTTCGTTCGCAGTATTATGAAAAGGTGACGCTCCAAAATCCACTTGCTCTTGAAATCGCAACAATTTATATACCATTGTAGAAGAGTTCTCTGTCAGATTGTCATATGATTAAAATATCATTGCTTTTAAATGGTAGGTTGGTTTCCGCAGTGTCGAAGAAAAGAAATCTCTGGAGATATTGTTAAAGGAGCGCCCGCTTGACAAGACAAAGCTAAAGCAGTTTTGTTTAAGATTCACTGTACCTGCTATGTATAGAAATTTCTTATGGAAGGTCTTACTCGACGTTATACCAGTTTATTCGGAGAGTCAGGGATTTATAATGGCTCAGCGCAAGGCGGAATTTCAGGATTTGCAGAGAGCATTGAGAGTCGCAAAGATTATAGACGACTTTACGAAACCTCATCTAATATTTTTAGCAATGTGGTTGTTACGCAAAAGAAGAGCAAAAGTTGATATGGCTGCTCAATTGGAATCGCCGTTATACAGGTTCACATTACAGTATTCAATATTAGGTATTTCAAACTTTTAAATTGAACATTTTCATTTTATAAATTCTAATTGAAATCTATTTTTGTATAATTTGTCTTAAAAATGTTCTGTCTTGATTTTGAAGGATGCCTCGGCTGTATAAATTCATAGACTCATTTTATATTTATTTTGTATGAGCTCAAAAAATATTATAATAGACTTTTATCTATTCCAGAGCTATGAGCAAAATGGCCGAGACACTGTGGTATGTGATTGATGTTGAATCAGAAGAAGAGAAACTAGTGGATATGTATTGGATATTGTCAGGACTTTTTGTACAAGTTGAGAAGCTACAGAAAGAAGTAGGAAAATTGCAAGACTGTACATATGCATTGTTGGAGAAAGAAGACGTAGAATTATACAAGCATCTTGTTAAAATTGATGCACTTTATAATCTTCCATATGATATTTGGTTTTATTCGTGTTTTGCTGGCATAATATGCAATGGATCTATTGCTAAGTATGTACGTTAATGTTACCATAAAAACTGAAATTGCATTGTAATTTTATTACTTAACTTTGATACACTGGTAAGAACATATCTTTTTAGGATTATTAGAATACTTAATTATTTGTTGTAGGATATGGGATAAAATAACGGTTGGTGCATATCGAATTTTAATATTCGTTGCCGTCGTCACGTTAACTACTTTAAGGCGACTATTATTGAGATGCGAAAGCATAGATCATGTATTAGATACTATCAATAATGTACGACTACTAATTAAATTATAATGCAATAATGTGATGGGCATATCTTTCAGATTTTTATATTTTGTTCTAGATAACAGAAGAAACATCAGAAGTGATAGTCAATAAAGCAATTGAATCAATACAACAAAGTGGAACGACTCAACAAGTTGACATGTATTTCACAAAGCACAATTAATGTTTTATGCATAAAAACATTATATATTGTGCGATGAATTTATTATTGATAAAATTAAATTTGTCCCTAATTTTCTCAAACTTGTCTCACATTTAAATGCTATACAAAGCAGAAACTGATTTTTATTCATTACATAACTGATTTTTATATATTTCATAACTTTAATATTTGGATATTATCTCTGTGAAATTGGTTCTAAATAGAACTATAATTAAGTTTTCAATTTTAAAAAATGTATCTTTTTCGTTTGTAGTTCCAACTCTTGAAAAATATAATATTTAGAAATGTTCTGAAAAAAAATGATAATAATTCGATTTTTAAATAAAAAATCGTTAATATAGTATGATTCAAAATCAATTATAAATTATAAAAATTATCCATCTTTTCTGTCTACGTAAATTCGTAAAGTTTTTTATCAGACTGTTTAGTTTCTCAGATTTAAGACTGTTATCAATAATAATACGTGTCACAAAACAGCTGAGATAATGGAAAATTGTGTATGTGTAGCGAGCAGCATGTATTGACATATCCTTCAACTCGATTGAGATAAATAAAACTTGAACTAGGCATACAGAATTTAATTGTTTGCCAGTCTGACTGACTAGTCGTCGAGATAAGTTCGCTTGTGATTGATTTGATCAGTGACTGCTGAGAAAATACTGACCCAATTACAATCTGTAAGAATACAGTAGAATTTATTTTTTTAAGCTTTTGCTATTATTTTAACGATACAAATATTAATCAGAGATTTTTTTTAAAAGAAAAACGATTTAATTAAAATCTTTTATGAAAAAATAGATAAATAAGTTTGATATATTAAAATTTAAAAGATATTTTAATTGTAAAATGACATATAATATTTACATAATATATATAACACAATTGTATGTAGTGTACGTTTTTGCAAAGTTTCATGATTATCATTCTGAGTTGATGCTGTCATTCTAAGACTATCCATTTGATATGAATAAAAAATATAGAATATACTTTGAACATTATTATTGAGAATGTGTTTTATTAATAATAATATTTCAAAACAAATAATAATACATTCAAAAAAATCTTGAAGATGTACACGTAAAAAAAAGTGAACTGTCACGTACAAAAATTATAACACCATTTTGTAACCTTTTTAGTTAAAATTTTATCCTACAAGTTAATACTTTCAAATAAAAATCTCTAAAAATATGTGCGCATTTCCGAAACTTTTTTTCCGATAAGAAAGTATTATTTGCTCTTCAAATAACTGCATAATATGTACTAACGCGTTTTTTAATATTAATCAACAGAAAAAGAAATGATTACTGATAAAAATATACAATTTTGTACGCGAATTTCGAATAAACGAAATTAATTCAGATAAGACAGCTGTGGCACAAACTTTCATTTCATTATAATTGGCAGAACAGCAACTGTTGTGAAGAGGTTGTATATAGTTAATTTAAAGTGGACTACTTAGTTAACGGTCCAAAAAGTTCTAACATTAACCTTCACTTACTGTATTGAGATATGACATACTTAGAACGTATGAAAATCGCATTTGTAGAAATCGGGAAGTGAGGGGATTAGATATGGAAAGGGAAAAAAGTATTGGTATTCAGTTGGTATCTTTTCCCCTACCTATAACGTCGTCAGTTTACATAAAGAAGCGGTACTGATCGTGTTTTATCAAAAAATCGTGCAATTTAAGATTTAGAACTTGTCGAGGTAAATATACTTATACGGGAATCTATTGACATATTTTATTATTGAAATTACATCTCCAACTATTCATTCCTTTCGTTCTTTTATCTCCATTTTTAATATGATTAGTAATTTTTTAAGATAAAAGTCTTTTGTGTTTTTTTGAAAAATTCTCTTCCGTTTATTGTTAAATTTTTTTTGCAATTTACAATTTCCGGCAACTCATACGGGGCTCTTCTTTAGATCTTCCTCCAGAATAAAGATTTTACACAGTTACTTTAATCAGTGTATTTTACTGAAAATTAAAGGCACTTGAACATCAATTGTAACCCTGCGTGGTAACGACGGAAGTGAAAATACGTGTAGTAAGTGAGAGTTTAACAAGGAAGTAATTTACGCAATGAAACTATTAATGAGAGTAATACTGCAAAATATCAAAAGATCATCAAAAACGTTATTATTACCCCAGTCTCAGGTAATATAATTAATTAGTATTAACTTATTAATTAATATTAACTTTGTGATTAACTTTCATCATAATTGTATACATAAATTAGATTGCTATATTAAATTATATGTTTTTAAAGCAATCTGTATCCAATTTATTTGTATATAATTACTTTCTTATTATTGAAATACTTGAAAAAGAATACTTAAAAGTAATTTAAATATTGTCAGAATTAACTTAAATGTTTCTTCTTTTTTAGCACATTCAATGCCACAGAACACTTACATCTGAACAAGTGTTTAATCGTGAATCTAAATATGGTGCTCACAATTATCAACCACTTCCCGTGGCTCTGTGCAAAGGTCAGGGTGTCTTTATGTGGGACATCGAGGGGAAACGATACTTTGATTTTCTAAGCGCTTATTCGGCAATTAATCAAGGCCATTGTCATCCCAGAATCTACAAAGCGATGATTGACCAGGCGAAGACTTTAACTCTGACATCCAGAGCATTTTATTCAGATGTTTTAGGTGAATTCGAAGAATATATTACGAAACTTTTCAGGTACAAAGTATTGATTTCGATTCTTAAACTCATATCGATAAGATAAACAATGACGTAACGAGATTTAAAATCTAAAGTATAACAGACACGTGAAGGATAAGTTCATATACACGGTGTGTTATTTCGAAAATCTAATGTTTGTTTTCACTAATGTAGATTAACTTTAATCTCGGTTCAACTTACTCTTCATCTTTTTCTAGTTCTAAAAATTTGAAAAAGACGAAGAGTAAATTGAACCAAGATTAAAGTTAATCTACGTTGGTGGAAATGGGCATAAAATAATATAAATTATTTTAGAGTCTTAATATTAAAATTAATAACAAGACATTGAGAGTACGGCGCGATACTTGGGGCGCAATTTTATTATTTTATATTGATTATTTTAATTTACTAAATTATAGTTTCTTCGGATGTTTTGGCCATATTTTAGATCTATATATCTCGGCGATGATGTAGATAATAAACAAGAAGTTCGTCTTACGCTTAAACAGAAATCTCTGGTCAAGTATTCTATATCACTTCGCAGTATGAATTCGTTGTAAATTATGAAATTGGTTAAATTAATCTGGCCTTCGATTGCCATAAGCGTAAAACCAGCTTAAATTTCAATACAATTAATAAAATCCGCAGTTATAATGTACAAAAATTGGAAATTTGAAAAAATCAGAAATATAAAACTGGGACAAATCGCATAAACGTCAAAGAAACAATTATTTCATCAATCTCATGACAATTGAAGGATCAGATCAATTTAATCAATTTCGTAATTTAATGAATTCATTGCTACGAAGTGATAGAGTACCAGGTGATAGAGTATATAGAGTACCAGGCATCACCGTTTGAACATAAGACGAGCTCCTTTACTATTTACATTGCTACATCATCATTTCTGGCCTAAAATGTGGTCAAAATGTTCGAAAAAACTGTAACGTTTATTAAATTAATATAATTAAAATAATATAAGATAATTGTGTAGCAAGTATCCCGTTATACTCTCTCTTATAAGAGGCCTAAGTATATTATTGTTAATTTAAAAAAATCTAGTTAGTTTAATATTCAATATACCAGAAGTTATACCAGAAAATTGGATCTTAAAAGCAGAGATAAAAAAAATAAATAATATAATAATAAATAATGATAATAATTAATAATATAATAAATATAATAATTATTATTATATATAATAATAATAATAATAATAGTAATAATATAATTAATGATAATATTAAATAATGACTTATTTAATATTTTTTGTTCGTATCATAATTGAATGAATCAGGTATATCTTTAAACAAAAGAAAACAATTTCGTAATATTTTTTATAGATGCTATCGAATTCATTCACATTAAAAAAATTCATTCCTTCAGCTATGACAAATGGTTGCCGATGAACACGGGCGTGGAAAGTGGCGAAACGGCATGCAAATTGGCACGCAAATGGGGATACTCATGCAAGGGTATACCGCAGAATCAGGCCAAGGTAGTGTTTGCGGAAGGCAATTTCTGGGGAAGAACTATGAGCGCTATTTCCTCGAGTACCGATCCTAACAGCTACAACGGTTTCGGACCGTTTATGCCGGGCTTCGAGGTCATACCTTACGACGATTTACCGGCACTTGAACGAGCTCTCGTCGATCCAAACGTCTGCGCCTTCATGGTGGAGCCTATCCAAGGTGAAGCTGGTGTTGTGGTTCCCAAGGTAAGCTTTCACATGCGAAAATTTAAAAAGAAATAAGGCCCCTTCGAATCTTATCCTTAAAATTGTCGTTGTATTTCGAAAAGAACGGATATCTGAGAGGAATTCGAGAACTTTGCACAAAAAACAATGTCCTGTGGATTGCGGATGAAGTGCAAACCGGCTTGGGGAGAACGGGGAAGCGGATCGCAGTAGATCATGAAAACGTGAAGCCGGATATCCTAATGCTCGGTAAAGCATTATCCGGAGGATTTTATCCCGTTTCCGGTATACTAGCGAATGATCCCATTATGCTCGCAATCAAGCCTGGAGAGCACGGGTCTACTTATGGTGGTAATCCTTTGGGATGCAAGATTGCTATCGAAGCGCTTCGCGTCCTAGAGGAAGAGAAACTTGCCGAAAATGCAGAAAAGGTCGGTCACTTATTCAGAGACGAGCTTAACAAGCTGCCGAAGGAGATAGTTACTTTAGTGAGAGGAAAGGGCCTCTTGAACGCCATCGTCATCAATGAAAAGATCAACGCAAAGGATATTTGCATGAAGCTGAAGCAAAACGGGCTCTTGTCGAAACCTACACATGAACACATCATTCGTTTAGCACCACCGTTAGTTATCACGGAGGAACAAATACGCGAGTGCACAGATATCATTTCTAAGACTATTCTCACATATATGTAATGAATCCTTCAATATTTACCTAGCATGTTATTATATTATATCTTTTTAATAAAAATGCGAATGATAATTAAGTAATAAAAATAATTTGTTGATATCCTGTACTTATATCATTTTCTTAATTTATCTAATATACGTATTCTGTATAATTTTAAGGTCAATGTCTATTGTGACTTTTATCTCGACAATTCGCAATGCAACAAAGATAATCTACATCATTAATCCATATCAAAACAGTTCATCATTTCCTTGATGAAAAAATTTCGCTGAAATTATCCCACATTTTGGAACATTTCAGCGAAATTGCTAAAAATTTACTGAGATTTCACTGAAGGTGAATTTTTCAACATACCGAAAAATCACTGAAATTGAACTGAAATTTTTCTGAAATGCTGAAATTTCCCTGAAGTGTTCCAAAACGTGAACTAATTTCAGCGAAATTTTTCCATTAGGGTCAACAGGTCAATTTTATCAAGTGATAGACATACTGCAAGAAGTTGAATCGGTCATAAGTGCATTGACGTATAAATTATGGATATTTTTTACAGTAGAACGCTGCAAATATAATTATTATCGCTTACGATTCTATTCTGTAAACAAAACCTGAATAAGCCACTTTATATGTGGTCGTATTATTATCTCACAAAAAATACGTATTTAACGTAGTAAATAATGAGTTATTCCCTTTTGGGATATTAATAGCTTTGTACGATAATATTCTCTATGTAAATAATTCCTAATACAACGACGCGAGAGATAACATGTATTGAAAAACATATAAGCATGGTTTGCAACTAATAAGTAATTCCTAAATAATAATTCATAAGATAATTACGTTTTATTTTAGTTAATTGATTATATCGCAAAATTATTCAGATTAAACGGTTTAATAAATTTCAGCTTGTTTAAAGTCTTATTAAAGTAAAATTATTCTATCACTGTCAAATTTTCTTAATAAAATTTTAAAAAGTACCTAAAAATTATATTAACTAAAAAATTTTAATTCAAATCAAATGCAACACAATCATTATTTTTTGCTTCTTTTCGAAATTATGTTAATATAAAAATTAAATTCAATCTTGCATGTGCATTGTATTGTTTATCATGATTCGTTTACTTAGGCATGCTGGCGCCTTTGCTTTGTATTTTTTATCAGATATGATTCCGTCTGTAAGGGTATTTATTATAAATCCCTCTGTCGCAATGTTTGTAATCAAGCATGATTTCAGTAAATGAGTAATCATATCCGTCGTATCTTTTCCCATATCTTCTTTCACCTTGATATAAAAGCAAGACTGCTTAAATCGTCATCAGATGCCTATTTTCCGACGTCTTGTAGTCTTGTTCGTGTTAAAAAAAAGAGAAGGTAAATGCTTATGCGACAAAACATTTCAGCAATATTGCAACATTTTAACTACATTTCAGAGTGAAGGAAAAATATGGCTATGCAATCTGTGAGACAGAGATTTTTTAACATCGTAAGGGAATCGGACAAGAGAAGATTCCTGAGTTCCCAGCAAGTAATCGATCGCGACAACAAGTATGGCGGTATACACTTCAAACCACTACCGGTTGTTCTTTCTCGCGGAGAAGGAGTCTATCTGTGGGATATCGATGGAAAACGCTACCTTGATTTCCTGGCAGGATTCTCGACTGTCAACCAAGGTCATTGTCATCCGCGTCTGGTGAAAGTAATGAGAGAGCAAGCTGGAAAGCTGTCGCATACGTCAAGAGCCTTCTACTCGGAACCTCACGGTGAATTGGGAGAGTATCTAACAAAACTTCTTGGATGGGATCGATTTTTACCTATGAACACAGGTGTGGAAAAAGAAAATTGCTTTAAAAAAAAAGAAAATATTTTCAAAAACAATTAATTTTGATATCTTAATAATTATTGGAAAAAGATTTTGATATTGCTTGCGATAAGCACAAGCTTTCTTTATTATACAAGATAGAAGAGTCAGAACATTCGTTATTTTCTTATTGCAGGTGTTGAAGGAGGTGACACGGCCATAAAATTAGCCAGACGTTGGGGATACAGAATCAAAAAAGTGCCGAGTGGCAAGGCTACTATTACATTCGCCAACGGAAACTTTTGGGGACGTTCATTAGCGGCCTTATCGGCTTCAACAGATCCAAATTGCTATACGGATTTTGGTCCTTATGTACCTCTTTTTGAGAAGGTGCCATATAACGATCCGGTTGCTCTGGAACAAAAGTTTCAAGAGAACACCAATATCTGCGCGTTCATGATGGAACCCATTCAAGGAGAAGCTGGCGTTATTGTACCGACTGTGAGTTAATACGAAAATACATAGCATCGTAAATATTATGCGAGCATTAAACAAATACGTAAGCGCTTTTTTTTTACTTTAGAATTTAGATTGCACAAACATTCTTCCTTCCTGTTGATATTGAAGATATCAGGAAACTGGTGATATCATTATCTTTTTATCAACAATGTTTTTCTTACTTTCTGTTTAGAATGGTTACCTGAAACGTGTAAGAGAACTGTGCACAAAATATAATGTTCTCTGGATTGCCGATGAAGTGCAAACTGGTCTTTGCAGAACTGGTACACGTTTGGCAATTGATCACGAAGGCTATAGACCGGATATTCTTATTTTGGGGAAAGCGCTCTCTGGCGGAATGTATCCGGTTTCCGGTGTCCTGGCGGATGATCAGGTATTCGAAAAAATTTCATTGCAATTATTATTATAAAATAATTCAATATCAATTATATTTTATTTAATATACGCGACTTTATAAAATATAAAATATTTTAACTGTTATCATTTGTAAAAATTTCTTACGTTAAATTGTTGAAGTTTCGTCGTAGACGATAACGGGATATCTGCCGTTGCGTAGCTCAAAATAAATCGATATTAATCACCTATTTGACGCAATAAGAATTTTAATCCAGACTAATTGTTTCTTTCCAGATAATGCTTTGTCTGGAAACGGGTTCCCACGGAAGCACCTTTGGTGGGAGTCCGCTTGGAAACAGAGTCGCTTTGGAGGCAGTTAAAATTCTGGAGGAGGAGAATCTTGCGGAGAACGCGAAGAGACTCGGAAACATTCTAAAGAAAGAATTGGATAAACTGCCGAAAGACATCGTGACAGAATTTCGTGGACGCGGTCTTCTGGCCGGTCTAGTGATAAACAAAGGTATCAAAAGTCAGGAAAGAATTATTCATATCGCTGATAAATTGGTAAAGTAAAAACTCGTTACGTGATATGGATGAAGATAAAATACTTGTTGATACATGTAAAATTAAAATTATATCTTGCAAACTTTATCCCACCCATTTACTCATAATATAATTGTGCGCGACTGATAATAAAGAGATAAAAGGACTGTACTATATATCGAAAAATATTTCTTTAAACCATTTCGTTATTTAACAAGAAATATTGACTTTTATTATGATGTATTGACTTTTACTTACAGAATTCGCCGAGGGTTGGGATATCTGTCTAAAGCTGAGGGACGCTGGATTATTGTCGAGACCCGCACATGGTCAAATCATCAGAATATCGCCTCCATTAACGATCACGGAAGAACAATTACGAGAAGGAATAAATATTCTTACCACGGTTCTCAAAAATTACAAATAAAGAATTTAAAATTTCACCCACATCAAGATTGTATGATAAATATAATTTTTTACGATAAAATGGATTACCTGTTATCGTATTATTCCAGTTATTCCAAAAAGAGTGTTTAAGATCTCAGTAGGTTTTTTTTAGAATTCTCTTTTAGATTTCTTGAGGAAGCATGAAGATTGTAAGAGAATAAAACAATTAATTATAATCACGCGCAAGTTCTTATAATTATAAAACATGTATTCACAATAGTTATTCGCATGTCTACATGTACATAAATTACAATTTATTACAATATAAATTATATATGCGATTCATTATGTTTCTTTAAGTGTCTCGTTAGACTAAAAGATTGCGAAAACATTTGGTTACACTGATTGCACTTATAAGTCTTTGTACCGGTGTGTAAATTTAAATGTCGTTTCAAATGATTGGCCAGCTTGAATCTTTTACCACATAATCGGCATTGATGTTGCCTCAATGTACCGTGTGAGGCTTCGTGGCTTTTAAGGTGACTCGATTGCGCAAATCTCTTGCCGCACAATTTACATGCGAAAGGCTTCACTTTAGTGTGAATTCGCAAATGCTCAACCAAATTACCTTTCTGTACGAAGCGTTTATCGCAATACTCACATTTATGTACTCTTGATGTTTTGTGTGTTCGCAAGTGCATTTTCAGATTATAATTATGACTAAATTTTTTATCACAAATTTCGCATTGCACTAAACCTTTTCCGGTATGGAGTCTTTCGTGAGCTTTCAAATTTTTTAAAAGCCGAAAACGTTTGTTACAAGTCGTACATTCATAATCCTTGCTCTGCGATGTATTATTACTTTTATTATGGACCTTTATATGTTCCTCCAAGTATGACGGATATGAAAATATTTTATCGCACACTTTACACTGATGTACGTTGATTTTGGTGTGTAATCTCATATGTGCACTGAGTTTGCTTTTCGATGCGTATCCTTTGCCGCAACTTATACATTTAAATGGTTGCTGACCAGAATGAGATAGCTGATGGGCAAATAATTTAGATTTTTGTGAAAATTGTCTTGAGCATATTACACACTGATGCTTCTTAGCATTAACATCTTCCGTGATTTTTATGTCGAGAGGTTCTTTATAATTATCATCACTTTGACATCCGTGATATTCAATCGCGAGTTGCCTGTCTTTTCCGGGCGATTTTATAAACCTCAAGTTTTCGGCAATCGACACATCGTTTTCAGAATGTATCGTTACATTTTGCATACGTTCCGAACTGCTTTCCTGGACTCCATCGAGATCTATATTTTCCGGAAAGTTTATATTCTGTATTCCATCGGTATCATCCACGGTGGATCGCTGATATGACAAGTTTTGAATAGGATTATCCACAGAATGAATTGATCTTTCGTAACTTAAATTTTGTGGGATATGATTAGAATTCTCACAAATTTCTATGTTTTCATTGTCACATGACATATCGACACTCTCCGTACTGTGCGTTATATTGTGACTTATTAACTGTCTTCTATTAGTAAAAGTGTGATTGCATAAGGAACAATGTAAGGCACAAGCAGCTCGACTTGAACTTTCTTCATTCAATGACATAGTATGCATCATATTTGGTCTAACTAATGGAGATAATTGCGTACTTGGAATGTTATCGTTTGCAAAATTTGAACTGACATGAGTAAAATTAAGATATGGATTCTGAGACTCCACTATGTGCATGTGTTGCATAGGTATGTTGTCCTGAATAAATGGCAAATGGAGTCGGTTATGGGCACATAGCTCCTGATAGTTCATAAATACTGCGCCACATTCCACACATTTTAGTGTCTTGTAAGAATTTTGTACCGGCATGAATCCTTGATTTTGTTGATTTTGATAAAGTTTGCAGCCGGAAACAGTAGTGTATGACGTTAATCGGGATACCTATTTTTTAACATATTCTTAATATGTTAAAATTCTTATCTGACCATTAAGCAAACTGTTCACAGAATGCTAGTAGATTGGCAATAAATTTGATGAGAAAAATGCAGCAGCTCAGTACAATCTGTGTCTGCATTAAGTGAGTTTACATTCTGTCAATATAATTTGATAATATATTTACAGAAATTAAGCAGAATCTATTGAATACAAATTCTGTTCGATTTCTGCTGCTAATCTGTTAAACTATGTGCAAATCTGCTTGGTTTCTGCCATCAATTTGCTGTCAAATCACATAAATAAGTATTATTATATTTTTTTGATATTTTATCATCAATAGGAAGATTAGTTGAGTATCTTGAATCAAGAATAAAAATTACCAAAAGTGAGCAAATTCAGTAAAATATTTATAATTTTATTGATCAACATCTCAAGTTAAATCGACTCCCAGATCATCTTATATAACTGATTCTACATCAAATTTTTAACTTTCTCACTAACAAAATTTATCAGTAGATGCTTTGCAAAAAAATTCTGTTCAAGCAAACTTGGCTGATTGAATATAGGCTGGATATATATATGTTACGATAAAAACAAAATTCTTTTATTATACCTTCAACGCTGCTTGTCTCAAAGCCCTGTCGGCAGCGCGACATTGCTCTCGATACAAAAGAGCCGATTCCGCTCTGGTGACACAACGATCGCACATCTTTTCAGGCAAGCCATCTCCTTGCCAGACCTAGAAATATTCACACAAAATACAAGCTTAATCTTTGAGGAACCATTAAATTCGAGATAAGACAAATGTGCTGCTTACTTCCAAACAAGAGAGAGATCGTAATTTAGCGGCGAGTGAGGAACCAGCTGGTCCCACGAACAGGCATACCATTTTGTCGCCGTCTTCCCGCAAGCACGTGCGGCACAATTTGCTGATATTCTCACTGTCGATCTCTTTCGTGACTATAAACATCTCTTCGCTGTTTGATAAACCGAAAAATGTTGCTCGATTCTGATTTTTTTTTTACAGAGATACCTTTAATTTGTTGTTCTAATTCTTCTGATGCATTATCTCTGATTGTTTGCTCGTTTTATATTTCCTTCGGTTTTCTCATCAATCATATCCTTTTATTGTTGTTCAGAACTCTTACGTTTTTATTTTGACGTTTTCGTCGTCCATACAGTTGTCAAATTTCATTTCGTCTACGCCACACAAGAGATCGCCACCGTGCCTCAAAACGTCGCTGTGTGTTCCAAAACTGATAAGACTTTAGGTCTGTTCGTGTTACTTAAAGTCTCCAAAAAATTTTGCATTTAAAGCGAGAAATAAATAAATATTTTCATATATTGAAGAGAGAGAAAGAGAATATTCTAACGTTCTGAGTGCAAAAAGTGCAAGCAACGTGAACAGACCTACTGAAAAAGAAAGACGAAGAGTGCAGAAGAGTGCAAATAGTTCAACTACAAAGTACGGCGCGAGTGGCGCGACAACCATATCTTTACACGTATACAAACATTATAACAAACATTATACAAATATTATAACAAAATATTTTAAACAACTATGTATTTGTTGTACGTTTAACATTCTTCATAGCATAAATAAGTACCACGGATGAAACAGGCTAATTGAAGTCATATGTACGTAATGAGTAAATTAAAAGAAATTCAAATCATAGCTATTAGTTCATCGTTCTACAAAAATGTATCTTTACTTACACAAGTCATATCGCCGTCAGTCGAGTTTCGACAACATTTTAGAAAGGTATAAAAACATTTCTTAAAAATATGAGTATTATATTAATTTCGACACTATTATAAATTATATATACATATAAAATACAAGTATTTTTTTAAGGATATGTTTAACAAACCTAATACAGTGGGTTTCCTGCATATATCGCATTATCTATCATCTATATATGATACAAAGCTGTTTAAACAAATAGTCAAATGGCCAATTTTATGCAAAAAAGATGAATCAACATATCGTGTTGAAATAAAAAATTTCTTGTGCCTCGTATCACGAGACAATCCTGATCTCTGCTTTCCATCGATACTAATAAGCCATTTACTTCAATCAGGAGGAATCAAGTTTCAAATTATTATGTGGAAACTATCGCAACTTGCTCTTAGGACTTATATGAAAAAAGAACGTATGTAAATATGTAATATGTGATTAATATAATAAGAAAGAAGGTATTTTATTTTTGTACCAATCGTTATTTATCCGAATTGGTTTCTATAGTTCAAGGAGAATTGTTAAACGCACCATGTACAAGTCCAATACAGAGTTTAATAACAACATACTTCAATAACACAATTGCGCAAAAATGTAGCGTTATGACAGACACTCATAAGAAGATGGAGAAAACACTGAAGGCTGCAAATAATTTTCTGAAGTAAATCACTATTATTTGTTTACAATTAGTGATGATACATTAACTTACATAATAATTTTATTATATATTTTAGCGACGAGATCGAGACATTGAATGCGTATAAATCTGAAATTTTTGACAGAAAAGAAAATATAAAAAGACTAATGCTTGATCTGCCAGCTAATCCATTAATCCAAAAGCGATTGATAGATGTCGAAGATTCTAACATCATAGACTGTTAGTATATGATAAATATTATTTTCTTGTTGATTTATTCATTAGCTGCGTTCTCTACAGAAAAGGTAGCTTTCTAGCTTGTAAAATTCTTTAATATGATTGATTTTACTCTTAGTTTCTCGCTGAATTTAAATGTATAAACACATCATATTAAAGAATCTTAGAATAATAGATTACAACAGTAAAGTACAAAGCTGCTTTCTCTGCTGAATGCATTAATAACTCATGACATTTCTTCTCGAGACGCAGTATGGAAAAAAAATATTTTCAAAAAAGTCCAATATATATATAGAAAAAATAAAGAATTCAACGAATTAGAGAAATCTTGCAATTATTTATGCAAACTTATCTTGAGGATAAACTCGAATTCTGGGACAATCGAAGCAAACAAATTTCCTGAAATTTGTTGCGATAATTGTTTATTATATTCACAATGTGAGAAGGTAATTGAATAAAAATTTCGTACACACAGTTCTTGCGATTAATAATTTTATTTTATTTG